CGTCAGTGGTTCTAGCTCACCAGCTGCTCATTGGAAACCCTGTATAGGAGCACTATGAGTCAGAACAGACTCAAAGGCACTTAACAACAACAACAACAACAACATAACTCATTCAAGGGAATGCAGTGGCTCCATAAGATACGCACTGGTCAACAAACCACAAGGTTTGCGGTTCGAGACCACCAGCTGCTCCTCGGGAGAAAGATGGGGCTTTGGGCTCTCACGAAGATTTTTAAAAGCCACAGAAACAGAGTCACTATGAGAATGAATCGCCTTGATGGCACTTAACAACACAGTACATTCCAGGAGCCTTGGTGGTATCATGGGTAAGCTCTAGGTTACTAATTGAATGGTTGGTAGGTTGAATCTACCAGCGGCTCCATTGGGAGAAAGCCCAGGGCATCTGCTCCTATTATGGTGACAATCTTGGAAACCCCCTCGGGCAGTTTTATTCTATCACACAGGCCTGCTATCAGTCAGAACCTGCGACACAGGAAGAACCACATAGTTCATTCAGAATCCCTGGATGGCTCGAATGGTTAAATGCTCAACAACTCACTGAAAGCTTGACGATTTGAACCCACCCAGAGGTACATTGGAAGAAAGTCCTGGCAATCTGTTTCTGAAAGGTCTAAGCCTGGAAACCCCTATGGTGTGCAGTTCTGCTCTGCAATGTCTAGGGCCGCCATGAATCAAAGTCTGTGTAGTGGCAGTGGGTTTTATAGCTCATTCGTTTTTTAAAATCAATTTGATTTTCTAGGCAAGTTCTAGATTTATAAAGAACTTGTGTTGAAGCACCGAGTCCCCTTTTATTCCCTCTCCCCTGCAGACTCTTTCCCCTACTGTTAATACCTGTGTCCATTCATGGGGCTCAGTCATTACAAGTGATAAGCCAATTAGACATGGTTGTTGTTAAGTGCCATTAAGTCAGTTCCAACTCAGTGACCCTGTATAGGATTTCCAAGGAGTTGTTGGTAGGTTTGAACTGCCAACCTTGTGGTTAGCTGTCCAGTGCTGATCCTTCAGCGCCACGCCAGGACTCCAAACTACTACCTGAAACGATCACTGATGGCACAAAGGTTGACCCAAAAGGTCAACAGTTTGCAACCTATGCAACACCTCCACACGTGATCTGCCCCCATAAAGATTAAACCATAACCCAAAACCCACTGCCATGCAGCCGAACTGCCCCCTAGGGATTCTGAGACTAAAGCCTGGGAGAGCAGACTGCCGCATCATTCTCCTTCCAAGATGCTGGTGGGTTCGAAGTGCTGACCTTTCCATTAGGAGCCCACTGCACCACCAGGACCCCCAAACCCAAACCAAGCTCACTACGACCGAGCTGATCCCAGCTAATAGTGACCCCAAGTAGGGATTCCCAGGCTGTACATCTTGACGAACACAGACAGCCTCCTCTTCCTCCCGCAGAGCAGCTGGTAGGTTTGAACCACCATTAGTAGCCCAGTCTTCCCAGCACACCATCAGGGCCCCCTCCCCAGCCCCTTAACAATTCCAATCTAGGAAACCCTCTGCTGTATGGAGTCACTATGAGTGGGAAATCAACCCAACAGCACCTAACTACAACATTATTCACTCAAGGTTGCATTAGGGTTCTCTATGTTGTGGAACCCTGGTAGCACAGTGGGTCCTGCTGTGAATTACAAGGTCAGCAGTTCAAGTCCACCAGGTGTTCTACACAGGAGAAAGCTGAGGCTTTCTGCTTCCATAAAGATTTACAGCCTCGGAAAGTCAATGAGTCCAAATCAACTCCATGGCATACTGCCATCACCCTGTTCAACCTGTCTGGTGGGTTTTTGTTTTGTTTTTTCAGAAGGTATAAAGAGGAGTTTATTAATAACAAAAATAGCAGGAACCTTTGAACTCTGCTGAAGAAATATGAAGTTAGACTGAGATGTAAGCAGTCTGAGTCTATGTTAACTTATGTATCTAGAAACATGCAATTGTATAATGTTAAATTTGAAAGGAACATGAGAGATGATCTAGTCTAAATGCCTCCTTTTGAAAGTTGAGTCCAATATGGTACAGAGAGGAACACTAACTTTCTCAGAATCATTCAGCAAGTCTAGCCTTTTCTGAACTAAAAGCTATTGTTCTGAGCTATGTTGTTGTTGTTGTTAAGTGCCGTCAAGTCGGTTCCGACCCATAGCGACCCTGTACAGGGTTTCTGAGGGTGTAAATCCTTACGGGAGTAGAAAGCCTCATCTTTCTCCCGCGGAGCGGCTGGTAGTTTCGAACCGCTGACCTTAAGGTTCGCAGCCCGATTCGTAACCACTACGCTACCAGAGCTCCTTGAACCGTCAAATCTCTCTTCAGCTCCCCAGCAGATTGTGTGATTCTCTGGCTGCGTAAGTTCACCTTTAGACTGTGTTTTCCCCTTCTGTGTCTCTGCAATGATTTGAATTTTTTTCTCAGAGGGTGCATGTTATCTTAGCTGTTTCTTTTTCTTTCTTCCTTCACCATTCCGTCTGATGGGTTTGGACAAATGTATAGTATTATGTATCAGGTTAATTCACTTTTCACTGGCACATAGTATCCCACCGGTGAATATACCAGGATATATGTTTCCATTTTCTTGCAGTGGACATTTGGATTACTTCCAGTTCATTGTATTACTAACAATAATGCTATGAACATTCTGTACAAGTCCACTGAGGCACATATATCATCGCTTCTCTAACAATATGCCTAGGAGTGGAACTGTTCATGTATATAGCATGAGCAAGGTCAGCTGTACATGAAGGTCATTTGTTCTCCAAACTGCTTAGACTTATTCACACAGCATGACACAGACGTCTCACTATTCTATCCATTCACCAACATGTCGTAATTTTTGCCCGTCGAATGGGTATAACACAGTATCTCTCACTGGGGGCTTCATTTGCATTTTTCTGATTACTAATGAGGTTACACATCTTTTAACAGTTTTACTGACCACTTTGTTTCCTGTTCTAAAAATGAATATCTGTTTCTCAGTTTTCTATTGTTTAATTGTTGTTGTTTTTCTTTATTAATGATTTATAGAAGTTCTTCACATATTGTGACTACGAATCCTTTGTTTTGGAATCCTGGTGTGGCACTGTAGGATAAGCACTGGATTGCTAACCTCAAGGTCAGTGGTTCACACCCACCAGCTGCTCCTCAGAAACTCTCTTCAGGGTCACTATGAATCGGAACTAACTCCATGGCACATAACAATAACAACCCTCGGTTCATCATGTATATTGCAAGTATCTGCTCCCATCTTTGTGGCTGTTTATTTTCTCTCCTTATAACGTCTAGCCATTAGCCTTAATTCTACTCTTTAAAGCAATTAAGTAGAAAATCTAGCTTTGCTTACTCGTGTTGGTGTTTTGTTGTTAGGGGCCGGTGAGTTGATTCCAATTCATAGCAACCCCATGTGACATAATCTTCATGGGGAAGGAATGTTGGTGACACAGTGGTTAAGTGCTTAACTGCTAATGCAAAGATCAGTGGTTTAAACGTACCAGCCACTCTGCTGCCCTTCCGTGACGATGACAACCTTGGAAACCTTATGGAGCAGTTCTACTGTGTCCACTAGGGGCGCTATGAGACTTTCTGGAGTCTCCTTGTGCCTCTAAGATGCCTTCAGACCTCGGTGTCTCTACCTGTGATTTGTGGAATCATTTAAGGTAACACAGAATGTTCAGCAGTAGCACCAGGTCTGTGCAAATACTAGGCTTGGACAAAGCTGGGACCAAGTAGGTGGAGCCAGAAAACACCTGCGCCTGATCTATACACCCTTAATAGTTCTGCCTACGTGCTACACAGCTGCTTCCCTTGGTAAAACTATTTAGATTGCTCCCTGTCGTTTCCATAGTAATCTGATATTCCTTTTTGACTTTTCATCGTGGTATGAGTGAAAGTTTCCAGAACGACTTTGTTTTCTGTTCAACAGCGTTTACACATTTTGTTTCGTGGCGTTGGCTTCAATCCCTCTCAATGCCACAGCTCTCCCGTGTCCTCCCTGAGCCCCCACCCCGTTTTCTTCTCTCCTGCCCCTTCCTGCCTCCTGAGCTTTGTGTTTAGGCAAATGCTGCCCAGTGAGCTGGCATTCTGATGGCCCTGCAATGTTCAATTTCAGTACCCATTAGCTGCTTGTGGCTACTAAAATGTACGTGTTCAATTAATTACAAGCAGATCAAATTTAAATTTTGGTTTCTCAGGTATACTAGCCACATTTTAAATGTGTAGTACCTGCACGTGACTTACCCATTACCAGTTACAACTGAGATGATTTTGACTCAAACTGAGCTTACACCACAAAGTAGAACAGCCCCATAGAGTGTCCGAGACTGTCGTCTTTACAACCGCAGGTCAGAGCAGCCCTTGGGTTGATCCTCACCAATGTAACTCAGCTCTTAAACCCAAACACATTCTACAATCCAGGCTTGTGTTGTTTTTTAACCTCTGATTCTGTGCATGAACACTGTGCTGCTCCATTGGGATTCGAAGGCTGCTATCTTTACAGAAGCACTTGCTTCATCTTTGTTCCCTTGGAGCGGTTGATGAGTTTGAACTAACAAACTTTCAGTTAGCAGTTGAACACTTAAGTATTGCGTCACCAGCCTCTTGGCCTGTGGTTTAGTGGTTACTATGTTAGACAAAGTACACACAGTTTCATCATCTCAGGCAGCGCTTGAGGGGGGAAGATTCCAAAGAAGGTTCCAGGGGATAGCTTTGACTGAAGGTGTAAAGTTTAAAGATTGTTTTACAGCACTAGTTTTAAGGATTCCACTGAAATTGCAGAATTTTAATGGATATTGAGGAGACTTTAGAATCCTGTGATATATGTGTTTTTAGTCCCATTTTGTAGATCAGGAAATGAAGGCTCAGAGAGATTAAGTGACCTGCCCAAGGAGCTAGCATCGGATCCAGAATTACATTCCAGGAACTTAAAATCTCAAAGAAAACACAAGTCTACATGGTGAGAATCTACATGAACCTCAGCCTCAACTACTCTGCGATCAGAAGGACTAGATGGTGCCCAGTTACCATCAGCAACTGTTCTGATTAGGACCACAACAGATTAAATAAGAAACCAGGGACAGAACTCACATTTTTTTAAAAATCCAGTTGAGACTAGAGGATATCCCCATACGATAGCCCTGAAATACCCTTTAAGTCTTGAGCCAAAACTCTCCACTGAGGTCACTTTTTGGTGAAATAACAGATTGGCTCACAAAATAAAATGAATATGATACTCCAGTGAAACAAAAACACAATGTCTATGACAATAGGTGGTTTGGTGGTGGCGGTTATGTGCTGTGGAGTCGGTTCCAACTCACAGAGACCCTGTACAGGTTTCCAAAGCTGTGAATTTTTACAGGAGCAGAAAGCCTCATCTTTCTGCCACAGAATGGCTGGTAGTTTCAAACCGC